AGGGTGGGTAGGAAGAGATCAGCCAATGAACTTCTCTGTATATATGCTTAATCCATGGACACAGAGAATGGGGTGCTGAGGGCCTGGGGAGGTAATGGGAGCGAGCAGAGAGGGGACAATGGGGAGAAAAGCAGGTCCTATGCAATACTTTCAACAATAAAGATTAGAAAAGAGAAAGAGAGAGAGAGAGAGAGAGCCTCCTGTTCACAGCCCCTGCATCCAGTACCTGCCTTGCTCTCACCCACCTCCATGTTATCCCTCACCTTCCCTCCTTAACTTCAAATGTACAAACCCAGCTGCAAATGATTATTCTCCAAAGCATTTGAGGTCTTACTCCCCAAAAGTTGTCAACTCTTTGGCTGGGATAAAATCTTATAAAACATTCTCTCCATGTTTGGACAGTTCTTACATCAACATGTTGTCTTATTTCATTTACCACATATGTTCATCCAGGTTTCATCCCCGTGTGGAGAGGGAAATGCACACAATTATTAAAACCTACTACCTCAACCCTAACCGGTTTGGCTCAGTGGATAGAGCATCGGCCAGCAGTCTCAAGGGTACCAGGTTTGATTCCGGCCAAGGGCATGAACCTTGGTTGTGGGTGCATTCCCCAGTGGGGAGTGTGCAGCAGGCAGCTGATTGATTTTTCTCTCTCATCGATGTTTCTAACTCTCTATCCCTCTCCCTTCCTCTCTGTAAAAACTCAATAAAATATATATTTTTTTAAAAAACCTACTACCTCTACATGGTGGTGGAGGTGACTCTAAAGAGTTCACACCCTTCAGTGTGGGGATGATGCTCCAACCACTGAGCCCCATCAGCCAGGGCTACATTTGTAAATTATGGAAATTCTCCCACTTTGAAAGGCTGGGAAATAGAGCTTTTGCACATGAACATCAGGAAGTTGAGTGAAATCTGTGCTTTCAGGAGGCAGCTGTGTGCTTGTGAGAGTGGCAGCAGATTAGAGACGGAGGCTGTGGCCTCGCGTCCAGCTTGGCCTCTCCTGCCTCCTCACCTGTAGAGGTAAAAGTTTTGTGGAGGATCTGATTGAGGAAAATAACAAGGGGAATCTTTCAGCTTCAAAATAAAAGCATCATTCAATTCGCATTCTTATTCCTAAACCCCAGAAAGGCAGCATGGCCAACAGCAGGTGAAGGAGAGAGAGAGGAAGCATCATCCATATGCCTCTGGGGGAGCACCCCTGGGTCCTCATCAAAACCCCAAAGAAGGAGGACTCTCAATCCTGGAGGCTGCCCCCAAAAGAATGGGGTCAGGGTGACGGGTCTCAGAAAAGGAGGGAAGGAAGGTCAGGACAGGAGCCCTTGGGCCAGGATCCTTGAGTCCTTTTCCATCTAGGATCTCCCCTAGGATGACAAGGTCAGGCATGCGGCCCAGGGTCCCAACTGCACTTATATGCAGACTCTATGCAAATGGTGCTCTCCTCCTGCTCATAAAAGGGGGCCCTTGCCCAGCATGTTGGGGAGACACTCAGAACCCAAGCGCCTGAGACAGGACCCCAGCAGCTCCACCATGGACTTGGTGCCAAGCTGTGTTTTCCTCCTGATCATTTCTCAAGGTCGTTCTCAGGAGAGGGGAGCGCTGAGACCTGTGCCTGTGCCTGTTGGTGCTTCCATGTGATTCTCAGTCCACCTTGTGTCTCTGTGTTTACAGGTGTCCAGTGTGAGGTGCAGCTGGTGGAGTCTGGTGGAGGCTTGGTGAAGCCTGGGGGGTATCTGAGATTCTCCTGTGCAGCCTCTGGATTCACCTTTAGTAGCTATGAAATGAACTGGGTCCGAGAGGCGCCAGGGAAGGGGCTGGAGTGGGTCACATACATTAATAGTGGTGGTGGTAGCACATACTACGCCGCCTATGTGAAGGGCCGCTTCACCATGTCCAGAGACAACGCCAAGAACACGTTCTATCTGTAAATGAACAGCCTGAGAACTGAGGACATGGCCGTGCATTACTGTGCAATATACACAGTGAGGGGAAGTCAGTGTGAGCCCAGACACAAACCTCTCTGAGGGAGGCAGCAGGGCTGGGCTGCAGGGAGTGTCCAGGACACCAGGGGGTGCTCAGAACCTGCAAACACAGGGCCCCAGCTCAGATGCTATCCCTGGATTGGAGCAGGTGCAGGTGGAGGTTTGGACTGGTGGCCTGTGTGGTTTCCTCTCCATGTAACAGTTTCCCTCGGCAAACATCTGGATCCTGATTCTGCATTTACCTCTGAGTCTCTGAGCTAGAAAGCCTGCTGTAAAGAGAGAGAACTCTCTCACATGGATAATCTCCAGAGAGTGTGATTCAGACATACTTGTGCTAAAATGACGATTAACCACCAAATCTTCTGGCCCATGTCATGTAAATCCAATAAGTGTCTCTGCTGACTCAACAGTGCAGCTAACCTAAATTCTGGGCAGCGTGCACCACAAGTATGTGACCCCAAAGCTAGTGAAGAAGGACCTCAGGTGGTGACAGTTATTGTCTTGGCATCATGCTCACAGGACCGAGAGTAGGTGATACTAGGCAGAGTCAGAGGGACCCACCACAGCTTGGTGCAGATGTGCAGGCTGATAACAAACACACACACTAAGGGTAAATGGGATGGTTATTATGCTCCTGATTGAAATCCCTGAGAAGCACAGGAAAGATCACTGAGCAACTCAGACCTGCTTGGATGGGGAGTGGAAATGAGAGGACGCAGGGCTTTTATTTTGGTGAGGTGGTGTGGTAGGGGGAGGAATTCTGCTTCCAGGGACTTGTGTGGTTTCAATCTTCCAATATCTTTTAAAGAGAAAACTATGATTTCTTATCCAATTTCCGGTATGTGGGGCAGATGGAGAAGAGGCAGCAATGAGTTCTCAGTTGTTAGAATGCAAATGAAAAAGCAAATATAGTTGTATTTTATTTAACAACTATACAAATTGAGCAAAAATTCAGAAAAAGGCCCTTATGTCTGTACAAAAACTACATGTAAAGAAAATGAGAAAAATAATTATAAGTAAGCAAATGATGCTGATGGTGGACAGAGACAAGGACACTGGTCCACTGAAATGACGGCTCCACATACAGACACACCATCACCATGGCTCCTCCAATGAGGGGTATCCACTCCTCCTTCCAAGTGTTCAGAGAGTTCATAAATGGGACCAAAAAAAGTTTTGTGGCTCAGGTGATTCAAGGAGAGACCATGTGAATAATGACCCCAAATGCGTCCAAGTCCTAATTCCCTGCACCTGGGAAGGTGTCATCTTCTAGAACAGAGACACTGAGAATGTGCATGTAGGAAAAAGGGGTCCCCTTCCCAACAGTTTGGAGTGAGAGGTTCCTTATTTCTCTTGATCCCTGCCTGCATGATCTTTAATGTTCTACTTCAATCAACTCCTGCTTATCATTATTCAGGTATTTCCTATGATGACACGAGCTGTCTCTATCATGCCCCGCACTTCCTTCTGTGCCTTCACTGTAGTAGGTTTTAAACCCACATGTCCAGTAACTCTCTGTCCATGACCATTAGGCACATTTCTGTCATGTGACTCAAATCAAGTCCAGCTTCCTCTTCTCCCCCAGTTCCACAGTACATCCAGATATATGTTTCCCAGCAGTGCTCCCCTGTGGTACCAGAATCTGCTCCAGTCCCTGTGGCTGCTGTAGCCAATCAACATGGACAGTGGATGCTCACAATTATCTAGGGAGTTCTTTGCAAAATCATGCAAAACAGGTGCCAATAAAGAATATACTGATGTATAAAATTCTATTGTTGAATTCTCTTCACTCGCCTCCCTCTGAACACCAACATCACTGATGACACTAGACTGAGAAAAGTGTTCAATATCCTTCTACCATCATTTCAACATTTGAATGATTCCATGCTATGCACATACATGATCACTGCTTTTATTTCGTGTCTTCTCTCCAAGTAGAGCCATGACTATTGCTGGTGTAACTATTTGGTGTCTCTGCAATAGGCCATGTGCTTGCATAAAGGAAGAGTATGCACAGGAAGCTCACACCTGTCAGAATGGCTACCATCAACAAATCAACAATGACAAGTGCTGACGAGGATGTGGAGAAAAGTGGACCCTCATACTCTTCTGGAGAGAATACCAACTGCTGCAGCCATGATGGAACGCAGTATGGAGTTTCCACAAAAAAATAAAGATGGAACTGCCAATTGAGCCAGTGATCCCACTTTTAGGAATATGCGGAGGGACCCCAAACACCAATTAGAAAAAGATGTATTAACAAGTATGGTCATAGAAACACAATTTGCAATAGCTAAGATATGGAAAGAGAACAAATGCCCTTGAGGAGCTGAGTGGATAAAAAAAAGCTGTGGTACATTTATACCAGGAAATACTATGCAGCAGTAAAAGAGAAGGATCTCTTACCCTTTGGGATAGTAAAGAGGGACCTGGAGAGTATCATGATAAGTGTAATGAGCCAAACAGGGAAAGGCAATTATCACATGATCTCACTCAAATGTGGAATCTAATTAACAGAATGAACTGATGAAGAGAATGGATCCAGGGACCTGAACGCATGGAGCAGATTGGGGAATCTCAGAGGGAAATCGAGGTCGGGTGGAAGGGTGGGAAGAGGTCAACCAACAAACTCGTATGCGTATGTGCATCATCCAGGGACACAGACAATAGGATGGTGAAGACCTGGGCACCTGGGCTAGAAGGTGTCGATGGGGGATAAGGGGACATGTGTAATAGCTTCAACAATGAAGGTATAATTTAAAGAAAAAAGAATTAGGACTTGGACCCTCAGACTCCCACTGAACATGGTCCCTGTGTAATCCAATTTCTCTCAGTTGGTTTCAAGACCTCAGCTATGAAATATGCTGCCTCATGAATATGCAAAAGAGAGGAGGGAGATCAGGTTAAATACGGGTAAGTATGTGCCCTGAGGGCAACACCCACAGCCACACCCTCCCCTACAGAAGTGCTCACAGCACAGCCCTCAGCATGGACTGGAACTGGAGAACCCTCCTCCTGGTGGCCATGGTGACAGGTAAGGGGCTCCTGTCCTGGGTTAAGGAGGGTACAGGGATAGTCCAGGGGGATTCCACTCACTCCTGTCTCCTCCCCACAGGTGTCCACTCCCAGGTGCAGCTGGTGCAGTCTGGGGCTGAGGTGAGGAAGCCTGGGGCCTCCATGAAGGTCTCCTGCAAGGCTTCTGGATACACCTTCACCAGCTACTACATGCACTGGGTGGAACAGGCCCCAGGACAGGGGCTTAAAAGGATGGGGATAGTTTTCCCTTTACTTGGAATCACAAACTACACACAGAAGTTCCAAGGCAGAGTCTCCATAACCGAAGACACGTCCACAAGCACAGCCTGCATGGAGCTCAGCAGCCTGAGAGCCAAGGAAACTTCCCTGTATTACTGTGAAAGAGACACAGTGAGGGGAAGTCAGTGTGAGCCCAGACACAAACCTCCCTGCAGAGACAGCAGGACTGGGCTGCATTTATGACGATCAAAGGGCGCTCAATACCATCAGAGGCCCTGACCAGGAGCAGGTGAAGAGTTGAGCAAAGAAACTATTTCCTGCTCCATCTAAAATAGTTTTGTCACAGGAGGCTCTGATCACACATCCTACCTGGGCAGTCCTGGGGGTGGGCACGCCCCAGGCCTATGACTTCTTTACTAAAAGGCTCATCTTTGCCTTAAGCACCCTGTCCATTGTTCCTGTGCATCTGGGTTAGCACACCTTTGACATTAGCATGACAACGCTCAGGAGAGCATGTCTTGGCCATCTGTGTGTCCACTTTGGAGCCTTACCTATGAGGCCCTTTGCCCATTTTTCAATTGTGTTGTTGTCTTCCTTTTGTTAAGTTGTATGAGTTCCCTATATGATACAGGAATTTTTAGGTGTAAAAAAAGACACTTCTAGGATCTTTAAGAATTTTAGAATTTAAGGAGACCATGGAAGAAGCACAGGGTTGCAGAGCAGTACAAGGTACATTTCCATAGAATGAGGGAGCTGGGAACAGCAAGGTCTATATTTACAAAATGAAGGGGAGGAAGGCCATCATCCAGAAGGAGAAGAAAGTCCAAAGGGAATAGGAAAACAATGGGGAAGAGGGAGGGAGAACCTCACGCGTCCCATGTGACGTCGGAACTTTGAGCTCAGGAGTTACCATAGTTACTAGTCTAAGGGAATAGTGATCAATCAGAGGGGATATCAACACACAAAGAACCGCAGCCTTTATAAACCATGGAAAGGGGACTCAGTGAGACTCGTTCCCCCTCCCCAGGTGGGAGTCAGTACTTGTTCTTTAATAAATTTCCACCTTTGCTATCCCACCTACCGTCCCTGAATTAATTCTTCTACTCTGAGGGACAAAGAACCCGGGAACCATCCTGCCTAGTGGAGTATTGTGTGTTCCAGTCCAAAAATCGTACTTCGTATACATTTTGGAAATTAAACCCTGATCAGATGTATGCACGCTGTCGCTAATGGTAAGAGTTCTTTCTTTTTTGTGCCTGCATAGTATTCCATGGTGTAGATTCTGTACCACAGTTATCCTGTTACAGAATTTAACAGCTGACCAAGAAATACACAGGAGATACAGGAAAAAGCCATTTATTTTCAGGTGTTCTACATGTACTAGTACAGTGACTCAGGGCAGACTGTTTCTCTTCAAATCTTGAGCAAACCAATATAGAAGAAGCTCTTCATTTATACCCCTTTGGTTTCTTTGTCTCCCAAATATGGATGGGACTTCCGGACCTTTCTGGAGCTTTGCAAAAAGCCCCATGTGTTGGGATAGGGGCTGTGAGACCACATAAAAGGCCTGGCCTAGCACCAGTGTTGATAACCCCCTCCAGGGGTTCTTCATGGTTTATGGCCTCTGAAAAAGTGACTGTTTAGGTAAAATGCTCTGCTAGACAGATTGTGGACAAAGGGGCCATCAAGAATGTACATTAGGTTACTGGCACAGACTCAGGTTGCTAGGCCCCCCAAAATGTCTTCTTTTCCTCATCATTCCCCCTACCCTTGATCCTCAAGCTGATTTACAACCTTGGGGATTCAATAGAAGCCTCAAAGCTAGGGAGTAAGGTGTTCAGAAAGTTGAGTCCTTTTTCATCTACACCATGCAAGGGATTGTGATGGCAGTCCAGAGACCTGGTCTGGATTAAAATCCGAGGCTTCAGGGCTTACTGATACTCTCTATTAGCTGCTCTAAAACCTGTTGGCTTTATTAGAGGAAGGAGAGGGAGTCTGCACAGGTTTCTTCATTTCCAACTTCAGAGCAGTTGGAGTGGTGAGAAGCTCTGAATCCTTTCAGGGAAAATGGGCGTCGGTGTGTTCCTGTGACTACTTCCATGATGAGGAGAGACAGATTTCTTTCAGAGCCAAGAGATCCTTGATCTCTGTCAGAGGAACAATGAGGCCTGTGCATAGAAGGAGGTGGGCTTGTGTCCTGTCGGAGACAAACTGCATTATAAAATTTAGTATCATTCTTGATGGCCCCTTTGTCCAAAAATTTAGCAATTAAAACAGCAAGAGTTACAACAAATGGTCTGGTGGAAGGGAAAGAAAACGTTTCAGTTTTAATCACTTCTATTGAAATAGGATTTTTCTCCTTAAAATCACCCTTATGTTTATTAAAGAGCCAAATTAAGACCAATTCATCTTTTGCTTCAATTTGGCCTGATTGTTTGCATAAACACAACAAGAATTGTAACTGACCAACTTTGCCTGAATTTCATGATTGAATCTCAATGTGCCCATAGGGCAGGGAAGACAAGCCATCCATCAGCCATCAGGCCTGACTGCAGCATCTGCTGAGTTAGGTGGATTCCTCACCTGCAGTGGCTCTACCCGGGCCCATGCCCTAGGATTCAAGACCCATCTCAGGAAGCCTCCTACTCATCGCGGCCTACAGTGCGTGGGGGTTCTGCAGGGACACAGAGGCACCCTCGTTACTCACCTTCCACTCTGACCAACTGCCAGCAATGTCAGAGTATGGGTCAGACACTCCGGTGCCATCATTTTCAAAGCTACCAAGCAGGATACAGGCTTTCTCCATGGCACTCTTACTGGCTTCAAGTCTTCAGAGTTCAGACAGTGCTCTTTAAAACAGGACATTCCAAAGTTTTCTATCAATAAAACTACCATTGGAAACCTGTCTTATTGAATTTATGCAAAGAAATGCATTGCCATGATTTATTCATTAAGTATTGCCAAATATCAGAGGGATATATAGAGAGAAAAATACACTGACCTGCTTTAAGAACTGATTTTCCTTGCCAGTCCTTTCCATTGACTCTTCAAAAGATGTAATATTTTCCAAATGCATTATAACAAAACAGTAACTCTCTCCAAATGACAATAAATTTAAAATGACTTGTTTATGGATTTCATTATAATGCAGATGACATGGTATGTTGTCCTTTCTGTAAAACCCAACATTCTATAATATTACAACTAATAACCATTAGTTATAACTGTATTTGACAAAGGTTCCTATGTATTTTCAGTGTAAAATTTTCCTTTATGAGAGAGAAAACAAACATTTGAGGCATCTCAGGGCCTATTGGGATGATCTAAAGTCAATTCTAGATCAAGAGAAAGTGGTGTGTGTGTTTTCATTCAAACCCTTGAAGGATTGTCAAACTTGATTTTACCAAAAGATTAAATATTGAAGTGTATTAGACAGGAACAGGCTAGCAAACTTCAGTTCCTATGATTAAAAGATGGTCTATTTTATTAAATACCTGATTAATATAACGTAATTATTTTACTAGAAAAGAACTGGCCAAAATAAGGCTTATTTTCTAACTTCATTTGTTCTTGGGTGTGGACAGCAAATGACACTAATTGGATTTCTCCCAACAGTCTCCCTGAGTACTTTGGCATAAGCTATTTACCCTCTGCTTAGAGAGGCAAAATACAAATCATTGACTCTTAAGTGTCCTTGCTTTAGGGAAGACAAAGTTGTCTAGGTGGTTGCAAACTGTTGTTGTAATATCGCAGTTTCTGTTCTGCTCATCCTGGCTTGCTGGCCTGTATCGTTTAATCAATTTCCTTTTAGCAGTTCTTTTTTTTTATTACATACACAACCTTCACAAATTTCACACTTTCAAATTAGCCTTCAAATTTTCTTTCTGTGTCCTTCAAAAATGCATAACCATGCCTTAGACCTTCCATTAAGTATTTCTACTTTAATTTCTTTCTTTCATAGTATAAGCAACTTATACAGACCTTTTCTCTTCTTTATTTAAAATGTATTAGAATTCTTCACTCTCAGAAACCTTAATTTTTCAATGATTACCAAAAAGTAAACAGCCACATTTCTTAGATTAACATTTATGAACATACTTTAAATGCACTTTTACTTTCAAGAAAATCTACCTTCAATAATGTACAAGAGACCTTCTGTAATATAAACTAAGAGCAGGAAAATTAAAACGTGTCTAGCAAGTAATGTTTCAGTTTTTAAAAAATATTTAATGTTTATCATTTACCCCAGCAATGCTCCAAAGCCTTTAAGTTAATAAAGACCTTGGAAAATTTTTAATAGGCATTTGAGGCTAGAAAAAAAGGCAGGGGGAGGAGGGAACAGGCT